GAACGCATTCTTCGTTCAGGGACCCCCCACCCCCCAGTCTAACGGCGACGGCGGGTATCGATCCCGCTCCTCAGGGCAAGCCCCGCGCTCATCCTTTGAGCTTCGTCGTCGAAATTGTGGGCGGGGGTCGCTAAGCTCCGTGTCGTTAAGCCACAAAAAAGAAGAATGATGTCGAATAGTGTTTATCGGAATATTTGGCAGTCATTTATTGGCTAATTAAAAACCTAAACGAGGTTTAATGTATGTCATTCTGTCATTGGCTAGTTAAAATAAAACTAAGTATGGTTAAATAAGATGATTCAATGTCACTAAATTGTCACTGAATGAATACAGAGGCCTCTCATGGGTGATCCGGTCTCATTAATGAATTTGCAGGCTGTAGCGTACGTGGCTCCAAGCCCATAATAAAGGTACATAAAAAACACGTTTTTCTCGGCCTACAGGTTCTATAGGCCTTTTCCTTGCGGCTGTGAGCACGCTTTCGAGGACTGACAGAGCTTTCTGAGCCAATGAAAAGTTTCGAACTTAAACGAAACACAGATGTATGCTTTTTGATGATGTTTACAGTAAATGCTTCCTATTCCGGTACTGGTATAACTTAATTCCCTGAAATTGTCGATGTAATCGTTTTAAAGAGGGATGGATTGATTGTGCCTCTGATGGGAATCCATCGGACCCAGTCCTTTAATCTAGCTCGCTCAGCGCAAAGCTCGCGCTTCACACAACATAACCTGCAACGAGCAGCGCATCTAGTCATGGGGAGATGGATGAAGATACAGCAGAAGCGTGGGCTTATCCAGAAGGCAGCTGATTGCCCAAACATGACTCAAGAAGAGCTGGGAACGTGGGCAAAGGCAGAGTACAAGCTAAAACGAGTGCCACCACAAACAACAGTCTCCGACATCCTGAAAAACGCAACCAAGATCATGAGCGAAGGCTACGGTGATGGAAAGAGGCGTAAGCCACTTCAAGTGACGTCGTCTGCGCTGGAGAAATTGCTACGTGACTGGATTATGAAGGTTGAAGCTAACGGTGTGTGTCTTTCTCGCGAATTAATTAAGATGAAAACTCGTGCTATTCAGAAAGACTTGTGTGATGCGTGGGATCTTACCTTTTCGGACGGATGGTTAACCGCTTTCGAACGGAGACATCGACTGAAGAGTCGAAAGCTGCCTGGTGAAGCTCACTCTGCAGATCCTGTAGCGACTGCCTTAGGTCATCAGCAACTTCAAGAAATTACTGACCTGTACGAACCTAAGGATATCTACAACATGGATGAGACAGGGCTTTGTTACGCCATGGCTCCGACCCGCTCAATTTGTACTAAAGGAGCCCGCGGTACCAAGAAAAAAAGACAAGAATCACCCTCCCTCTAACTGTAAACGCGGACGGGACTGACAAACTGCCGGTTCTGTTCCTGGGGCACGCAAAGAAGCCTCACGGTTTTAAGAAGCGCACGGCGGAGGAACTCGGCTTTAGCTACCGTTCTAATAAGAAGGCGTTGATGACAGGCGTTATCTTCAGAGAGTGGTTACTCAATTTTGACAGGGATATGCGAGGGTGTGGGCGTCACATTCTCTTGCTTATCGACAATGCCTCTTCACACAAACTGGGGGATTTTGTGTGCACCAATATTCGAGTGGAGTTTCTTCCTCCAAACACTACTGCGTTCCTACAACCTATGGACGCTGGCATCATTGCATCCTTTAAAATGGCGTACAGAAGGAAGCAACTCCAGTGGGTATACGACAAGATTAAGCACGGCGTTGAGATTGACAGTAAGGCGTACGCCGTGGACCAGTTGCAGGCGATGCAATGGAGCAAGGAAATTTGGAGTGAAGTGCAAGGTAAGCGTACCATTGAGAACTGCTTTCGCCACACGGGCATTCTCTTCAATGCCGTAGAAGAAAGAAGCAGTGGTACCGATCTTACAAGCTACGGATCTGATGTAGATGTGGAGGATATTATTCTCCTTGCTTCTCAGTTGAATTTGTAGTGTTACTTTTAGAAAATATATCAAATCCTAGGATATGGTCGGACCACGATACCGGTAGTAGAGCATTTACTGTATTATGTTCTAAGGTTTTTGTACTGTCTATCGCCGACGTCCCCAACCGTCGGAAAATGTTGGGATGTCGGAACCGCTGCGATATGGCTGAGCGCAGTTGTTGCACTTGGCCATACAAACGTTTGTTCAAAAGATGGTGGTTGCAATCTCATCTCTTTACTCACTTCCTCATTTCAACCACGAGTCGCAAGCGCAAGAGAGACGACTACATGGGCGATTGGGACGTCGTCGAGGAGATTCAGGACCCCGACGAGTAAAAGAGATGAAAGAAGTAGTACCGAAGGCAACGAGAACGAAGACGGCTGGTACTCTTCGCGAGAAGGAGTACAAGAAAGGCAAAGTTCTTCGATCTGTTGTCTGTCGACTGAACAGGATGTGCGCAGACAAACGTCTTGTGAAGGAGATCAAGTGCACTGCGCTAGCCATGAAGCCGATCCAGATGGAGACGTGGCACCTCGTCAACCTCCACACACTGCGCAGTCTCAAGCACGATCTTCCATTGCCAGACTATGGCAAAACCTTTTTCGACCATTGTGGCCTCCACACGTATGTCGCACATGATCGCCACAAAGAATCGTTCTCTCTGGGACAGCATTCAGATCTATCGTATTGGTCGAAGTCAGGCCGGATTGCGCGAAGGCGCAAATATGACAGGTTTCTCAGAGTTGAAACAGGCTTTGCGACAGCAACTAGTGGTCAACGCTGGCGTGATGACTCGAGAACAGTTTCGGAAGCGGTTGAGGGCATACGTACTGATCAAGTTCGGGAAGACGGGAGACGACCTGAGCCCAGCCAAATAGAAGGATAACAAAAGCTCGTCGGGCAGATCATGTATGCTTGCTACAACGTAGAGGAGACTGACTGTCTCGAAGCGCTGCAGATGCGAGACGTGCTCACCCCGGATGGAGAGAAGTGGAGCGAGAAGTGGAATCCTTGGCCCAGCAATATCAAGAACAATGGCCTGGCGTTCTACATTCGGCTAAAATGGGAGTTCCAGAGCGTCGTGGAGGCTCGTATGGAGGCCGTTCCGAACGAGAAAGGGGTTAGAGCGTTCTCGTTGTTTCCAGTGTCTACGGCTTTCAAAACTGCTCACATCGTGATCAATGGAACGACGTTGGCAGGATTTGTGTCTCGCATCCGCGAACGTGGAGAAGGAAACCTAATGGAAGACTAGAACATGCCTCAAGTGAAGATTTCTAGATCATCCTTTGGCGCTATCCGATGTGCTGTCATGCGACGAGCGTTTGCGATTGATCGCTTCGAGACTGTAGCGGATGAATCTGTGCCGAAGCCAGAGTTCCGGCAGATGACAGTCGAAGCGAAGTACAACCACGCCAGCCATCTCTTTGCCAACGAGATTAAGGCCGATGGATACAATGCGTCAATTCTATACTACCGACCGAAGCAAGATGAGCCGGAGCGTGGAGAAGACGATCCTCTCGTTCCAGCTGGCTATCTGCCTGACGTAGTCATCGGTCTCGATCCCGGCATGCGGTCGGTGTGTACAGCAGCTCGCCAATACCTTCGACCTCAGGCTCCTCGTCGACGCAAGCCGAGAAGGGTCCGTCGTCCAAGACAACAGAAGAAGAAGAACAAGCGCAACTTCCCCAAGTGGATTCGTCAACCAAAGATTTTACGCCTAGGGCAGTGCCCGGGCAGAGAGACCGTCAGCGTCACCACTCGCGAGTGCAGGCATCTTGCCGGGTTCAACCGCTTCCGCGCTTGGAACGAGAGCCAAAAGAGGAAGTTTCCCGAGTACAAGAAGGTAATCGACGGTATGCCTTCATTCAAGACAGCGAACTATGAACAGTACCTGAAGCAACTCGAGTACTTTTGGCAACACGCGGCGTACATCCTACAGATTTGCAAAGATGACCGTGCCTGAAGTGGCGCTTCTTCCAGAAGCGTATGGCTCTGGTTGCAGTGGATACGCTTGTTAGGCGGATCATACCGACTGTGAGTAGGCTCACATGTGTAGCCTACGGTGACTGGAGCCGGAGAGATGGCATCAAGGGCCACGCTCCGAGCCCGGTCAAGGGGTTGAAAGAGGCATTGCGGAAGCGCGCGACAGTGGTTTCCATGGACGAGTTCAGGACGAGCAAGCTATGCTCGCAGTGCCACCAGTCGCTTTCGAGCGTCCAGTACCCTACTCCAGTCTTTCCCAAAAACGTCGACAAGCCCAAGAGAAAGAAGGTCAAGGGCAAAATCCTCCCACGTGATTGGTCCCAGGCTGAGATCCAGTCACGCCACTGCCACGTCGTGCTTCTCTGTGAGAACAAGATCTGCCAAGCGAGGTACTGGGACCGAGACGTGAACGCCGCCATCAACATGCTGGAACTGCTGATGAGCGAGGTGTAAGGGCGAGGACGAATGCAGTCGTTCAAACGCTTGTAGGCAAAAAAAAAAATCGTGGACACGAGAAAGTTTTCCACCCACGAGGTAGCTAACGCGGCTGTCTTGGATATTGCAGTAGTATCAGTAGTAATAGTAGTAATTGGGTTTATTGCAGTGCATTGTTTCTTGTGAATGGGATACAGGCGATATCTACCTAAAACTAACCGAGCTTCGAGAGCGCTCGCTGCGCAAAGAAGACAACATCGGCATCGCTATCCTGTAGTAGCGCCGTCAGACACGGAGTGACAGTGGCAGTGCGCGCTTCCGTGTCTACTTTAGAGCCCAGCACTTCCAGTGTTTTTGCCACGTTAAAACGAATGTTCGGGACCGGATCCTACAGGTAATAACACCAGTCAGAAACATAAACACAATAAATAAGGAAGATGAACCATCTTTCCTTACCTGAGCCAGCTCAACAACCAGAGGGATAAGCAGAGATTGAATCGACTCAGGGGTCATGGCTTCGCACAGCACTTTCACTGCATACAAAGACGTCAACCGATGCAAGAAGTTGGTGTTCGAGTGCATCGTCGAGATCCGCGGCACCACACTCGTCCGTGCCCAATCCACGCCAAAGTGCTCCGTCAAGTTCTTCAAGTTGATTGTGGCCGCTTCACGGATCGAATACACATTGTCCACAAGCCACGCCATGCAGAGCTGCGCCAACTGTTCCTCAAAGTAGTCGCGTCCAAGCTGAGCAGCCAACAACGGAATATACTCTATGATCGCCAGACGAATCCGCCACTGACGATCTTCCGCAAGATGCACGATAGCAGGAAGCAGTGACTGCGACAGAAGCTCAATTCCGATCACCTGTTCAGCAGTATCAACCAGGTTGACACTAACACTCACTAGACAGCAGATTCGTATCATTGCGCTTACCTTGTTGCCTTCTTCGAGATTAGAAATAACATTCAGGCGTACTTCCGAGTTTTGGTCATTTAGCAGCTGCCATAATCATCAGTAAGTCAGCTTATACCACGGATATCAACGAAAATCCCCAACAACACTTACAAGCAGGAAGAGAGGCAGCAAGTGCTCAATAGTAAGGTCTCGACCCAAAAACGGAGCAACCTTCATCACCACAGAAGCCAATGCAGAGCGCACGTGGTCCGACATATCACGTGCGAGACGTTGAAAACACGGTACGATCTTCTCCACAATCCGCTGAGGCTGCAGGAGCTTCACAACCCCAAGGATCTTTGACGTGGCCGCAGTGCGCACCTCCGCCTCGTTGTCCTCCAGCAACGACACCACCGAGTCGCAGAACGTCGAATTGATCGTCTCCGCATTCAAAGCCTCGCAGATCTCGGGAAAGCGGTTGGCAACTGACCATCGCACACGCCACGAGCCATCACGTGCCGTCTCAAAGATCGTCGGCAGCACCTGCGATAACAGCGCTTCCGTTGGTACCAGACGTGCCATTGCAACAGCGTTGTCGATTGTGTGTATCCGAACTGAGTCCTGGCGGTCCGTAGCCAGCGCCAGAAACAGCGGTAGCATTTCTCCACTGGCACTAGTACCGTCCATTACGGACGCAAAGCCTCCAAGTGCAGCAGATGCGGCCTTGCGCACCATTGGAGTGTCGTCACGGCATAGTTGACCGAACATCCCTCGCATTTCCGCTTGAATATCGGCTGCAAGGTGTGTGTAGCCAACCTGAAAAAGATTGCACGAGGCAATACGTGACGTGAACCAGTCACGGGTGACAAGACGTCGCAACACCGGTACAAAGTGCTCGGAGACATGGTCTGGCTCCATGGCCTCCACCACTTTGCAGATCGATCGTACGGCCATGTCACGCACTGAGGCTTCGTCCACCGTAGCCAGAGACTCGAGGGGTTTTAGCAGTAAATAGGCATGAGCTGGTCCACCCACGACGTCCACGAAGTCGCCTAGTTCCTCGGCCATCACCAGTAGCACCTCATCCTCGTCATCCAGCGAGTCTATCAGGATAAGGAGGTTCAGCGTCAAAAATGCCAATAGGACGTCCGAACAAATGACAGCGTTTTGTACCGTTCATGAATGGCAGCAACTCGTTCTGGGTGCGCTCGGGACCTAGCGCCTCCGCTAGTAATAATACGCCATAAACCGATGCTATATGTTAGTGTGGTGTCCTTTGAGGTGTTATTATAGAAAGAGACTGGAAAATTACCGATGATGCGGATCTGGCGAATCGAGTTGAGGCGTAGCTGCACGTCTTCATGCTTCAGCTCGTCCACGAGGATCGCGATCGGGTACAGGCTGTTGTCTTCTGCTCAGTATCACATTTGAGAGGTGAGCCAATCGACGAAATCCTCCACGTCAGAATATTCTTATTTGAATTTCCTACCAACTGCAGCCGCCATTGGAGTGCCGTCAATCCGATCTGTTCCGTTACGAAATAATGATATCAAAACGCCTCGACTTTGAGTCATCTCTACGCGGTCTGCGCCACGAGAATACTACGCACCTGGCACGAAGGACCGTCAAACAGCGAGGAACCGGAGGAAGGCAGGGGGGGGGG